GGGGCCTAGGTGGAGCGGCGGCGCCTGGCGCCGCGTCCGGGGCGGCCTTGTGCGGGCGCGGAGAGGGAGAGCTGCCTTGGGCCGTGACTTCCTGCTTTAGTTGAGGTCTCCACATGCCCTTTTGCTTTGGAAGTGGCGGGGAGTCGGGCTCAAAGCGTGGGAGGCCGCTGGTTTCACCCACGGGGCCTCCAGGAGGGCGTGAAAACGTGAGGAGGCCGTGGCRGCCCCTTGTGCAAACCCGGCTCCCCAAGAGCCACCCCTAGGACAGTGGGCATTGGCACCTGGCTTTTCCCAGCGACGTTCCCAGCTCTCCCAGCAGCTTCTCGCTCTGCCCAGTTACACTCCTGGCTCTTCTGGAGACCTGGCAAACTCAGCAGGGTACCACAGCTTGCGCATGCATACGCCTGGCCTGTGCTTTTAAGGTAATGCTGTGCATAGCCACTGCTGTTAATGTGAGCACGTCCCTACCGGGATCCAGACAAAAAAGGGAGAGGTTGCCCGCCAGCAGCCCAAACCCACAAAAATGCTCCAGCTGCTACAGATCCCTGCACACAGCTACTTTCCAGTCCCCAGCACTTCATTGCGCAGCCCCAGGATTGGACATGATGTTTTTTGACCCTGMCGAGTATTCCCTAAGTGTGTAATGTGCTACTCTCTAGCTGTGCTCCGAGGTAGGTGTTTGCGCTGCAAACGTTGGTCTGTTGTTGCCTCAGCCTTTCCTTTCCCCTCTCTGGTGATGATTAGTTGTCTTTTCTGTTTCTTGATGTTATACTTGAGGGTTTAGCAACTTCTAATTAAAAAGTCCCTGTGCTAAGCTGTTGAAAGCTCCATCTGAGCCACTGTAAGGTCAGGTTTCTTAGTTTAAGGTCATGGTCTTTAGCTCATGGCGGGGATGAAGCTCCAAGTAATCGCAAAGATAAGGTGTTACTAGAGAGGCATCCTGTAACCTTCCAAAGATGGTGTGAGATTTCTGCCCTAATCCCCAACTTTTCTGCTGACATTCCTGCCATGCCAGCGTAGCCGGCCCAAAGTGGCGCTTCCCCACAACATCCAGCTGCACTTCTGGCAGCCAAGGCTTTGCTGTTCTGGTGCTCATCGTGGTTGTGTGGCCATCTCCCCGTCCGGAGGCTGCATCTGCCCCTCTGAAAGGCCCTTCTTTGGGAAGCACTTCTTGTCCTGTCCTCAAAAACTGAGCTTTTGAGCACACCTTAGAGCACAGTGTGAGTGTTACTGACAGGATGGCCTCTGGGGAGAGCTCTTTTATCTGTTTCTACCTCAAGGGATCTGGGTGCTTGAATTAGAAACTGCCTGTGATTAAGCAGATTCCTTTTCGAGCCCTGAGACTTGCTGCTGTGCACCTCAGCTTCCAGAGTACAGCTGGGTACGTTCCCTAAATCCATGAGTCAATGTCCAGCAATTTTGGGATATTGTGTTGAAGGCAAGGGTGGTTTGGTTGAGTGATTTGAATATCTGAGGGATACTCTGCTGAGGAATATGTAGCGAGCTGGGCTGGAGAGCAGGGCATACAGGCTTTGCAAGGGCCAGTACATTGCAAGAAAGCAAGGACTGTTTTTTTTGTGGGTTGTTCTTTGTGCAACACTAAATCAAAATGCCTGGAGATGTTTGCTTCAGCACAACTCATGGAACTTGCTCAAATCTCTGAGCTTTTGCCTCTGGGTTGGCTGTGGTTGGYGAGTAGATCCTGTTTATTGGAAACATGACAATATTTCCTTAGTATTATTTTAGTATGACAGCATGTCATGTCATTGGATATGGAGTGTGTRACCCTTCATTTTTCTTATGGTGCCCTTAGCTTGTCTGAAGTTAATGTTTCCTTGGAGGGTGAGCTACCGCAGTGAAGGAAAGCGACCTGCGTACCCTTTATCTTTAAGGAYTACCGAAACTTGATCTTTCTGTGCAAAGGCAACTAATCTCAGGCATGCAAATAGATTTATTTAACTGCATGCCAGTGCTTAAAGCACTGATATATGAAATCCCCTGTAGATTCAGATGTACATACTGCTAAGCACTCCTCCACCTGCTCTTTTTCCTCCTTCCCTACCGTTCAAGAATCAGCCCATAAGTGTCAGTCACTGGAGACTGATGGTGACACATGCAGCAGCGCCTGCAAGCTCGAGTCTCAACCTGTGTGTGCTCGTGATGCCTGGGCTTTCCCTGCCCGCCTCTGGGGAAGCAGGGTGCTAGTTTTATTCTCCTTGGGATCTACCTTCCTTTTGTGCTCAGTGCTGGAGCTCAGCAGCTTGCAGGGAGCTGAGCTCAAACAGAAGCCTTGTGTGGGACTTGGACCGTTAAGAATTAAAACTAGGAGCAGCAGGAAAACTGGCCGAGATACTTAAATATTATGAGCATCTTGCCATGTTTCTGTTACAGTATGCAGGTAAAGTGCATGTTTTGTCCAGCTTTCTTGAAAGTGTTTGTCTCTGATGCTTTTGAGGTGAGCATTGTTGGAATACAGGATTATATGAGATTGGCAAGGTAGCTAGGAAAGTATGACTGCCACCTCAGCACGCTTGGAAGTCTGTACAAAGTGCTTATCTGCTAAACTGGTGATTATAAAGCTCTGACCATGAGCTTTACGCTGGGAGTAGAGTAGAAAAGAATATACAATACTTATTGTGGTTTCTGACTTGAGAGGCCAGCTCAGAAAGCAAATGTTTTTCATCAAAATGCAACCTCAAAGCCATGTTGGGTTTTTTTTTGTTTCCGTGCTGTCCTCTTTTRTTTTTCTTACGTGTGATTGTTGCAGTTTGAGGTCTCATAGGTGGTTCAGTTTCTTCTGGAGGGCGTTCCTTTAGACCTTGAAACAAGTAGACAACAGCTTGCCATCCA